GTTGAAGTCCACGCATCTTAAAGCGGCCAAGGTTGAGAAACACTGGATTAGATTCTTAATTTTATTAGAACCATTTCTGAGCTTTAAACATGCGTTGAACCAAGGATCCCGGCTCGTCCCAGCGTTCAGCGAAGCAGAAGCAAACGGAAAAAGAACGCCAGATGTCCTTTTTTTTATAACTGTCTCCTTCCTCCCCATCTCTTCCGGCTAATCAGTGGCTGTAAAAGTCGGAAACGTGAAAAAAGTTTCCGATATTGAAAGACTGAGAAAGCTGCACCACAATTCTAGCGAACAAGTTGAGCCGCGATCCAAACGGCCTCCTTCGCACCTCTGTGGACAGCTTGCTTTTCATTTCGTTTTTCAGTTTCTCGCTGTCCTTCCACCGAGCGATTAGCCCCCCGAAGGCCAAAGAAAAAGTCAAGTCAAATCAATGCTTAAATTCCAGCCCAGGTTGCTGGTGTGGGAGAGTTTTTTCCCCTCCCTTGCCTTTGCTGTGCATCAACATTTAAAGCAGGTGGATTTTTTAAAATATTCATTTGTTTCTCGGTTGCAGTTCAGGTTTGTTAGACTGGTCGTGTAGCAAACGTAGCGCTACTGCTGGCCCTCTTTCAAGGGGTACCCTGGTGCAGAAGGGAAGGGTAGGGCTGCACCACTGGGCACAACACTGAGGATTTCTCTGAATTGGGCAGTTCTTGGAGCAGAAAAGCGGGCAAAGCTGGCCCCCAGGGTTTTTCCTTCTCCACCCCCTCCACTGGCCAGCCTGGCACCCGGAGGGCATCAGGTTGGGGAAAGCAGTTGGAGAACGTTCCCTCTGTTCTCGGCAAAAGCCCTAAAAGCCGTAGAAATGGTTGTGAACCAGGGTGGCGGCAACTGCGCTCCCCGGAGCTGCAAATCGGCCGGTGGGGAAGATGCCCACATTCTCCCTCGGTTGCAGAGAGGGGATCCAGGAGAGAACTGGGCCCCTCCCGGCTTGGGGAGGAAGCAGATTGGAGGAAGAGATTCAGTTGCCTCTTGGTGGAATTGCAGAGGGGGCCGATCCCGGCGCCCCGCTGCTTCCCCCACAGCGGGAATAGGATTTGTCATCTGCAGGAACGGAAGGAGCCCGACCCTTTCCGCTCTTCTTGCCCTGTTCTTTCCCTCGTCCACCCGCCAAGTCAGTTACAGGCCAAGAGGTTTGATGGAGAGGTTGCTCCACAAAGCAGCCCAGCCCCCAGCTAGAGAGGCATCTGCAGGAAGGCTCCAGGAAGTCAAGACAGCAGCCACGGTTGTGCCGTGGTAGACACCATCTTGACTTTTTTGGCCCCAGTGCCAGCTAGCCCACCCTCCCCCTGTGTCTCTTGAGTTGCATTGCCCACTTTGCGTTGCGATGTCCCCTTGCCTCTCCCCCCGTTAACGCTTCGTTTTCTTTTGGTTTTCATTTAAAAGAAGCCAGTTTTCTTTTCCTTTCCAAGTTTTATCTTCCTGGACCAAGTTTTGGTACGTTTTGTTTTAGGTTTTTTTGTTATCATTTTTTTTCTTTTTTTCTTTTATCTTTCCTATATTTTGTTTTCCCCCCACCCTCTTCTCCTCCCCCTCTTCCCCTCCCCCCCCCCATCAACCTTTCTCCTCCCCATAGTCCCTCCCCCCCCCTCCCCCCCACGTGAATTTGCCCCGCCCCGGTGCACGCCGGTC